TCTGGCAAGACATAAAATTATAGTTACTTGAGCAGAACGTCAGTGGCGTAAGACACGCCTGGAAATTCACAGGCAGATATATCAACAGTGCCGAAATGCTACCACCTCTTTAATCATCTCCGCTAAAAGGAAATATTGTCTTCACAGTATACAGAATAGTATGGGGAAACCTGCTTCCCTTTACAGGTTTATGAATAAACTGCTTGGTAAAGGAGGTGATGGTGATAGAGTACCTCCCGGACAAAGTCACATGGAACTCGCAGACTCCTTCAACTCATTTTTCATTTCAAAGATTGATACCATTCGACAAGGACTTTCAGCCAAGGAAGTTGATAGGTGTTTCAGTGAACCTCTCTTCACAGGCGATCCACTAACACAGTTCGCGCCCTTCACCCCCAAGGACATTGAATCAATTATCCGCTCTTCAAAGCCTACCACTTGCGACTCCGACCCCATACCAACTAAACTTCTGTTTCAATATCTTTACTTGTTGCTGCCAAGCATTACCAAAATTGTCAACTCAAGTTTGGAGAGTAGTGTATTTCCATCCAGATTCAAACATGCTGTAGTCAAACCTCTGCTAAAGAAACTTGATCTTGACTCTCAGAATCTTCAGAACTTTCGACCTGTCTCAAATTTATCCTTCATTTCCAAGATAATTGAGAAGGCCGTGCATGTCAGACTCAAAGACCATCTCTCTAAACATCTTCTGCTTGATGAATTCCAGTCAGCGTATCGGCAATACTATAGTACGGAGACTGCCTTACTGCAAGTGACGAATGAGCTTCGTTGTGCTGTCGACGATGGTAGGATTGCTGCTCTAGTGTTGTTGGACCTCTCTGCAGCCTTCGACACAATCGATCACCATAGACTCTTGTCCAGGCTCACACAACAGTACGGACTTGGAGGTCATGCCCTTCAATGGGTGACGTCTTATCTGTCTGACCGACAGCAATCTGTTGTTGTTGGCACTGAGAGATCAAAAGGCACTGTAATCACATGTGGGGGTGCCACAGGGATCAGTCCTTGGTCCAGTCCTGTTTGTGTTGTATACCGGATATGTCGGAAGGATAACTACAGACCACACAGTTTCTCATCATGCCTACGCTGATGACACCCAGCTCCTGAAAGCATTTCATCTGTCAGATCTATCTACGTCTCTTCAGTGCATCGCTGAATGTACGCAGGACATCAAGTGCTGGATGACAGGAAACATGCTTAAACTTAATGACACAAAAACAGAAGCAGTTCTCATTGGTACAAAGCAACAACTCAGCAAGGTCAAAACCGACACCCTTACAGTCGCAGACTCTGACGTCAGATTCTCTGATGTGGTTAAGGACTTGGGTGTCCACATCGACTCTTCCTTGACTCTGGATGCTCATGTTAACCGTCTGAGCAGGACCTGCTACTTTCACCTAAGATCCATTGGTAACATTCGGCAATACCTGACAACTGCTGCAACTCAAGCCCTTGTTCGAGCTCTTGTTACATCTAGGCTTGATTACTGTAACAGCATCCTTTCGGGCCTCAGTTCTAAACTCCTTGATAAGCTTCAGAAGATCCAAAATACTTCCGCCCGCATCATCAGCAAGACTTCTAAACGTTCCCATATAACACCAGTGTTGAAAGAAATGCATTGGCTACCAGTTAGGGCCAGAATTGACTTTAAGATCCTCTGTCTGACGTACAAGTGCCTCCATGGTTTGGCTCCCTCCTACTTGTCTGAACTCCTACATCCGTATGTCCCCGCACGCAACTTGCGCTCAAACACACAAAACCGACTGGTCATCCCATCCTACAAACTGAAATCCTTCGGACACCGATCATTCTCTTACTCCGCGCCTGTGCTCTGGAACTCTCTCCCATGTGCCCTTAAAAGCTCTGCCACAATTGACATTTTTAAGTCCAGACTTAAAACCCACCTTTTCTCAGTATATTATGTATAACTTCATCTGTAAATACTCCAGTGTAAATATTCTGTAGCGCTTTGAGCATGCCTTAGGGTGTGGAAGGGGCGCATTATAAATATGCATTTATTATTATTATATTGTTTAACATATTATCATATATTTCATTTACATTTAAAAGCAATTTGTTTTTGGATACTAGTCCAAATTACCAAACAACAAATTGGCTATATTCCTGCTTATAATGTAATTTCGGGTCCAACTGTAATCATGTCTGTGGGACTTATGAGTTCCATGATACAAATTAAAGCACATGCACTTCCGTTCTTTTCAAACAATAATGGTTTGCAACATGTTCATATTTAGTCTTCTTTGTCTGAAATTTCCCGATGAGATGTTAATTTTTCAGTTTTAGTTGTCTTTTTTTCAAAAACAAAGTTCGCCACGTAATCTCGGGGTTGCTTACGTACCTGTTCTTTACATGGACTAGAGCGGGGACCATAAGGTCTGAACAGGCCACTACGCTTGTAGTGATCCCCAGGTTTATCAAATTCGTTTTGTAAAGGATGTAATCGCCAAGTTGTCAAAAACAAGGAGCAAGTATATATAAAACCAGAAGACGAATAGACTTTTATTTTGTTTGTTGTTATCGCCGCACTCAGCAATATCACAGCTATATTGTGGCGGTCTGTAAATGATCGAGTCTGGACCAGGCAGTCCAGTGATCAACAGCAAGAGCACCAATCTATACGATGGCATGTGTCAACCAGTTCAGCGAGTCTGACCACCCGATCCCGTAGGTCGCCTCTTACGACAAGCATGAGTTGCTGAAGACCAATTGTAACCCGGATGTATCGTATCCCAATTGTGTAGATCGATGTTCATGCTGTTGACCCCTGGATTGTCTGGTCCAGATCCAATTATTTACAGACCGCCGCCATATAGCTGGAATATTGCTGAGTGCGGCGTAAAACTAAACTCACTCACTCACTAGCCCGGACCTGACTAATTCTAACCCGATTAGGCCTAGCATCAACTTAACAGCCTCACTAACGTCTTGAACAGTTGTGTTGATGGGTCACTTTTCGTGGACGATTTCAATCATTCATGTCGTGGTAAGAACATACATGCAATAGAAAGGCAGCTACAACTCTGTCTGAACAAAATCCAAAAATGGGCCAATGAAAATGGCTTCAAGTTTTCAAAATCCAAAAACAATTATATTTACTTTTGTCGTTAATACAATTAAACCACACAAGGATCCAGACCTGTCTTTAGATGGTACTCCCATCAAGGTAGTAGAAGAGGCCAAATTCCTGGGACTCATATTCGACCGTCATCTGACATTCTTACCACACATAAAATATTTGAAAACCAAGTGCTTAATACAGTTTCAAATACAGAGTGGGGAAGGGATCAGACTACCCTCCTTCACTTGTACGGATCTTTGGTTCGCTCTAAACTAGACTACGGCTCCATTGTTTATGGTGGAGCCTGCAAAAGCAATTTAGAAAAATTAGAATTTATCCACCACCAAGGCCTAAGGCTCTGCCTGGGAGCTTTTAGGACCTCTCCGGTAGACGGTCTATATGCAGAGGCTAAGAAACCTTCCCTTGAACAACGCCGCATTAAACTTTCACTGCAGTATATCACTAAATTACGTTCAAATCAGTCCAATCCAGCATACAATTGTGTTTTCAACCCTCTCTATGAAAACCTGTTTCCCAAACTGCCAAGCCTGGTTCCACCACTTGGAATCAGAATTCATCCACACATATCTGCAGCTAAAATTAATCTCAATATCATAGCACCTTACCGACTCCTATCTTCGCCACCCTGGCAGATGGTGAAACCACAGGTCGACCTTACCCTCACTAAACTCAAAAAGTCCGAAACAAATCCTTTGGTGTTCCAGCAGGAATACAACCAGTTACGTTCCAAGTATGACACCCATAGATCCATTTTCACAAACGGATCCAAGGATGAGGGCCAAGTTGCCAGTGCTACAGTCCAAGACTGTCTCCTCTAGGATTCCCGACAACAGTTCCATTTTCACTGCCGAGGCCAAAGCTATCTTCTCAGCTTTGACCTACATTAAACAGCAAAAACATTCCAAAAACTTCATCGTTTTTACAGATTCATTATCTTGCCTTCAAGCACTTCAAAATGTTACTTCAAGTCACCCAATCATTCTGGACATTTTAGAACTTTACAACGACCTTTCTACTGGCCAATGTGACATCGTCCTCTGCTGGTTGCCGGGTCTCACACACACACACACACACACACACACACACACACACACACACACACACACACACACACACACACACACACACACACACACACACACACACACACACACACACACACACACACACACACACACACACACACACACACACACGCGTGTCTCTTGCGATGATGTTTTCACCATCAAGCATATTCTGCTTGACTGTGTGGACTTATCGTCTGCAAGGGACTCACAGTATGATGCAAGAAACCTGAAAGATCTGTTCTCCCGTGTGAGCGCTCATCTGATAATGAACTACCTGAGGGAAGTTGATCTGTATCATAAATTGAAACTGTGTAATGTGACTAACAAATTGCCTGCCTGTGAATTTAGTGCTGTGCCTTTTTCTGTCTCTAAATGACAATGTAATGAATATATGTTTTTGAAATAAAACTCATTTTGACTCTGTACTTACAATGTTTATTAATGCATACTTGTTCTCGTCACTATATGGCTGGAATAATGCCGATGTGACGTAAAGCCCAACTCAACTCAACTAAATACTTGGGGAACATTTGAATGAAGACATGTCGCCGTATTCTTGTTAGTGGTAGCAGAGACCATATAATAGATCTATTATATGGTCTCTGGTGGTAGGAGCATTTCGTTGTTGTGCAATCCGGTATCATAAGAGGTTATCAAATGAGTGTGTGTTTTGGCGTGAATCCCTCTACTGGGAATAAACAAACACAATGACATTATATTTGTATTTAGTGTTTCTATATACACTTACTGCATCGCCAAAACGCAGTCACCTGAAAAACTCATCTTACCCAGGATGCATCTCGTCAGTTCAGGAAGTATAAACATGGCGTCGTCTGTATCGTGGAGTGTTGTCGCTGTCACCGTTTTATTTCTGATAATACAAGTTCTGGCAGGGTAAGAATATTCATAGTGTTGTGGTCGTCAATGGCATGACTTTAGTGTCATGTTCTGTGAGTTTAAATATTTTTTTTCAGTATGATTTTGTTCTGAAGAATGTTTTAAACTTGATGCCGGTGGAATGAATGCGTGCTCAAATGCCATTGGCCCACGTGTACAGAGAATCTGCAGTTCGTGTTGTTTATTTACGTTGTACATTTCTTGTATTTATATGTTAATTGTCTCCATATATGTGAACAGTTTCTATTTTCGGTTAAATGTTTTTCTAAGAATTGAAGATACAAACTATTTTTCAGATGTTTCAATAAGACTATTTCGTTTTGAGTTTCTTTCAATTCACCGAACGTATCCTAATTTCGTGATGGTCGGTTGAATGTACTGTTAGGTGGGGCAGTTTTAATTTTCTTCAGGGTTAGGTTTAGCCTTGGTCCCTAATCCCTGCCTCGCAATGTTTACCCTATTGATTTGTATGGGTCTTAAGAGATCAATGAAGCAGTATTAAAGTATAGTTCTTGAATTGTATCTGTTTGTTATGTTACTATTTTGTGGGTTGCAAAAGCTATATGGCCTAGGTGCACATGACTCATTGTGTCATAAAGGGGTTCTTGATGGTAAAGGAGTATGGTGCCTTGTGTATATTTTACGACAAATGGGCATGCAGAATCTGAGAAGCCACAGCTGGCAGTCTGAACCAGCTAGTTCTATATAAGAGGTACCACTGAACTGCATTGTTTCAACACTTTTTCAGCAAAACTGAATTTTGCCATTTGAAATTATGGTTGGAAGACTATAACTGTCATCTTACAGGTGCTAATAACTCGATGAAGTTGGTAATAAACATTTGTTACGTTGGAGCGCTTTGCATCCAACTGTTGAAAGTCAGTTTTTGTGGTTGTTAATCTAAAGTCTATATGACCATGCACTTATACTTTTGATCACTTGCTTGGTAGTCGCTATCTGTACTGAAGATTGTTTAGACAGAATGAATAAGTTAAAGTACATTCAACAACTCTCTTCCTTACCATGTGAACCTTTTATAGGTCATTGTTAACATGAAGACTTGGGACCAATCAGAATGTTGGTTGCCAAGAATGACCAGAAAATTCTGTGCTATCTAACATGTATATTTCTCTAATACATCTTAAACATCACTACAAATGTCCTACAGGAATCTGATTACATCTTATTACATGTCAGCATGTATTTTGAATCTTAGGACCTGGTGGACAGGACAGAAATACTTCTCCTAAACATCCCATCTGTACGTTTTACAAATGTATGATGTGAGATGTTTAATGAGCATTATAACACTTGTGTACTTGTAGCTCTGCCCACGCTGTGACTCCTCTGGGTCGACAGTGGGTGATTGTATGTAGTCAGGAACAGTGTGAAGAGACACCTGGGCAGCTGTAAATCAAACCTATCACAAATCAATAAGGCTTCCTGCAGACAGTTCACGATTTGCCAGATGTACTTCAACTTTCTACATTGAGACTATAGTACTGTCGGAAATAGAAAGAAACTGTATTTTCTCATTTATCTCTACAATTTATGTAGTTGATATGTGCAAGTGTGAAATATCTCTTAAACTAAGTTCGGCCTAACTACAGTCTCAATGGTAGGGACACAAGAAACGTAGAAAAAGGACTTTACTGAGGAGAGATTAGTGCAGAAATGAGCAATGCGATTTTTTTGTAAGTCCAAAACGAATCATTTGGAACAGACCATGGCTGTATGCAAACTAGTGTGCGATGATATTGTATTATAAAGGACACTTTTTAAGTGACGAATTTGAAATTAGACGTAGCTTCATTATAAACGATAGCTGGCGTAAAAAATAATAACTTTCATGCTGAAACTATTAAGGATGTAGCTACCATGGAGTCTCACTGTCACTATAAAAAGAAACAGATTGGAGGGTTCGTCTCAAAAGCAAAACCTGGACGGGTGTCGCGGACGATCGTTGGGGTCGGGCTTGGGGATAGAGATATCAGCTAAGATACGATAATCCTTTAGGGCAATTATACTGGGGAAGTACACGGCATCTCATAACAATTTACAAATAATATCCAGTCCTGTCGATCTTCGCGATCGGGTGGTCATGCCACCTATATATTTTGAGACATTTATGGTTATCAGGTATCAAACTCTTCTACATATCTCAACATAAACTTTATGAAAGAAAGACACTTAAGCTGTTAATCAATAGATGAGGCATAGTCAACACACATGAAAAAGCACAACATATCTTTGAGATGACCCTTGGGGCGCCTGTAGGCAGCACATGCATTTCATGCCAGGTGAGTCGACGGTCCGTCATCATACCTGGCTGAGCGACTTAATTGCCATCTATAGTCTGATCTATTGTTTTCAGCGGCTATTCGTATTTGTTCTAAGTTTTGCCCTATTTTACGAGTAAACATGCTTTTCTGGATATCCTATTACACATCCCACTGAATACCAAGTAAGGCTGAAGTGGGTTATTTCGACATATGCTATTTGCAGTTGTGTAAATTTTAGGGATACAGAGTAAGAGCCTAAAAACAGTTTTTTTCTATTTCCGACAGTACTATAGTATGTCATATGGTTAAATCATCCCCAGCTGTCTTATTGTCCTAATTTCTCTGTTGATACTAGGAGTCCACCAGAACATGGTTATTTTATTTTTTAATTATTCTGTTTTTTTAAGTATTGACAATATTGACATTCAATGAACTTAACACCAGTTGCGACCGCCTCCGTGGTGTAGTGGTTAGATTGTCCGCCTGGAGAGCGGAAGGTCGCGGGTTCGATCCCCAACCGCGTCATACCAAAAGACGTTAAATATTGTACTTGTTGGTCCCTGCCTGGCTCTCGGCATTAATGGGTACAACAAGGACTGGTTGGCTCGGAGTCAGTATAATGTGTCTGAGTAGGGTATTCATGCTTCACTACGGCATGGTATCTCAGTGAGCTAGCACTATAAAACCAGCTTAAGTCTGGGCTAGTGCAAGCAGCCGCACATACACATACACACGCATGCACGTCGTCATATGAGCGAAATATTCTCAAGCACGACGTTAAACCCAATTTCACCTCACCTAACACCAGTTGCATTGTGTTGGGAATGAAGTACTTTGCATCTTCGAATTTCCAGAATATCTTTTGTGTTATGACCAGTTAGTATTTGAAGACTTTGTCAAAATGATAACAAATTAAGTTTAAATTTCAAACGGTCAGCTTGATTTATCATGTTTTATAACAGTAAATATATTAATTTAATGTGTACTTGAAGTGTCAGTCTGCTGCTTTTCATTTGACATCTACAAGTGAAAGAATTAAGTATGAAGTATGGCTTTATGTATCATCGTCAATGATTCTTTTGTTCCAGGAGAGACTTCTACAACATTTTGGGCGTGTCCAAGTCAGCCACAACAAATCAGATCAAGAAAGCATACCGGAAGTTGGCCAGGGAGCTTCATCCTGACAAGAACAGAGATGACCCTGAGGCTGCAGAAAGATTCCAGGATCTCGGCGCTGCATACGAGGTGATTACGATAAGCCCTCATCTTGTTGCACATTTTCTAACATGGTAATGTCCACATAATAATGGTGTGTGTGCGTGCGTGTGTGTGTGGAGGGCTGGGTCATGAATATATTAAACAATTCGGCGAAACAATAGCAAAATTATTTTTGACCAAGTTGACATTTATCACGACTGTGACCAATAACCATATCACTGACAAATTAAATACATCTTTCCTTCAACTCTGGATACAACACATTATAGTTATCATTAGATAGAACAAAATGGTTACAGTAAGCTTGATAAAGTCCGCTAGTACCCAGGAAATATTCCTAAAAGCTGTGTAGGACAATATTCAATGATTCACTGAGAATTAGACCATTTTGCTGCAAACTGATTGGCTAGTTGTTCCGTTGTTTAGATTTCTTTGCACATGGGCAGTCAGATAATTGGGATATTTTATCCTGTTTATGGGAAGGTGTTCCAAGAGTACACTATTTGGCCAGTTGTGGTATAAGGAAACTTCAGTCTGATGTGGTATGGCTTGGTAGGAGAGAGTTCTGACTTCAGTTTTAAACTGTGAGGTACTGCCAGGCGGACAATCAGGTTAATTTGTAGGTTTCAGCCCCTTCTAGCAAGTCGGTCAGGCGCAACATTTCACCATTGCCAATTCTAAAAGAATTGGTGAAACAATGGCAGGGGGGTTTAAATCATTTAAAAAAATTACAAGCACTTTTCATACATTACATTGATTTTTAAACAATTTTCATACGTTACATACATTTATTTTAAGCACCTCACATATATTTCATACATTTTAAGGGGCGTAGGGGTAGCCTAGTGGTTAAAGCATTGGCTCGTAACGCTGAAGACCCGGGTTCGATTCCCCACATGGGTACAATGTGTGAAGCCTATTTTCTGGTGTCCGCCGTCGAGATATTGCTGGAATATTGTTAAAGCAGCAGCGTTGAACTCACTCTCTCACTCACTCATATATTTCAATTAAAGTGCAGACATGCAGTAACTTCATCCACAAACTGCATTGTAGTGTTGCAGCTAGTCTGAAGTCTCTCCTTGAGGGTCAAGAAGCAGGTGTCCAAATTTCGATACTTCCTTTTCTTTGGTGGCCAAGAGGGCTGGTGGACTTGGTAGCAAGGTCCTTGATGGTCTCTTTCACCTGTTTAAAGGAATTGGAAATTTTTTATTATGGCGTGAGAGAGGAAATAGGCTGATAAGTGTTGTACATAAATGTTATCATAACCTTAACAAAATTCAAATTAAGATAGGAAAGCAAATATTAGATATATATATTTCTACCACCTTACTTTTATATTAACATCTACCTGTTATGGTTATGACCTTCTTGCTTGGTCAAGATAAGGTTTCCTGCTGACACTAAATTGACAGTCTTGCAGGACAGGTCTTCAACATACATTCCCAGGATTACTCTTAAACATGTAACCTTGATGCACTAAATATACTTCCTCCACGTAGGGACGGAATGGACTTAGCGTTCATTAAAGTGGTGAACTCAAAACCTTTCCAAAGTAACTTCAGTAAGTTGTGAACTTGTTATTTAAACCAAAGTGGTGAACTCGTCGTTAGCTTAATTCCCTGAAATGGCAAGGCAACCCCTTAGTATCAAAACAATGATAATTGGCATTACTAACTTCAAAGGACACCAGCAAGTCGGCCTGGCACACCTCTCTGCATGTCTATTTGGTACAAATGTCGGCCACGCAACACGCCCCCATTTCAACAACATCGGCTCTGTGATATAATGTTCGTCAGAGTGCCATACAAGTTTGTTGAGTCACTGTAACCACAGGCCCTCGTGTCTTGCGAAGATTAAAGATTAAGAAAAATATTTTTTTTAGATGACCCCCGACTCGAAATGCTTCACAGTACAATACATTATCACAAGGCCAGACACTTCAGTGTACCCCACCCTCCTGCTTTGCCGATTGCTACGCTACGATCGCATGCAATCGATTAAAACTTAATGTAAACATATTCATGGATGATTGGCCTATCGATCACCAATCATGACACCTACCAATTCTTTATTGTTATTTCTGCAAGTCGATTGAAACCCGATTTTGACCCTCAACTAAACAATCTTGACACAAATGGCTGACGATATGTCCTGACAAAATGGGGGTGTGGTTGAAGCAAGCCCTCTGGTTGGTTGATGCTTGTTAAGGAGACATTTACAACTGATACTTTCTTTTGAGAAGTCATTGCTCGAAAAATATTCTTACATTAAGCAGTCAACGAAAGGAAAAATTCCAGCGAATTACAAAGAATGTGCAGATTTGCAAGTATCAACCAATCAGAGGGCTTGCTTCGACCACACCCCCATTTTGTCCGGACATATCTTCATTCAATTGTGACAAGATCGTTTAGTTGAGGGTCAAAATCACAGGCCCTCGTGTCTTTGCAAGGATTAAAGATTTTGAATTTAAAAAAAAAAAATTGAGATGACCTCGATTCGAAATGCCTCACAGTACAATACATTATGACAAGGCCGGACAATTCGGTGTACCCCACCCGCCTGCTTTGCTGACCGCTACGCTACCATAGCATGCAATCGATTAAAACTTAATGTAAACATAATCATGGATGATTGGCCTATCGATCATCACTGATGACACCTACCAGTTCTTTATTGTTATTTCTGCAAGTCGATTGAAACCCGATTTTGACCCTCAACTAAACGATCTTGACACAAATGGATGAATCGGTGTGACTGTAACCACTGCCGACTCTCCACAGGTTTTGTCAGATCAGGAGAAGAGGAAGGTGTATGATCGCCATGGGGAAGAGGGACTCTCGAAAGGTGACATGGGAGGAGATCCCTTTTCCAGGTAAAAACTATTCTCTGCAAAGTTCTGCCAACTCCACATTAACAGTGCACATGCTGGTGTGCTCTTGTTATCCATTTTATACTATGGATTTCAGTAGGGATGCCACGATACATCGCTACTTTTTCTAAGACAATACAATTTTGAAAGTGTCGGTTTAAATATGTTTATGTATCATTTACATTTTGCAATTGTATCGTGTTTTTTATGTTATGAGAGTTGTAAATGATTAGTTTTAATGCACAAAGATGGGAAATTAGAACTTTTTAATCTCTGAGAATAAATTACAATATACAATATTAATGTTCAAAATGTAACTTAATTTATGCAAAATAGGTATTGTCATAGGTATCGAATCGTGACATGGGTATCGTGATATGTATCAATTCATGACACTTATGTATCGTGACATCTCTAGTATTCAGAAGATTTCTTGACATAACAGTTAAATATTTCTTGACAGTTTCTTTGGTGACTTTGGCTTTGGGTTTGGTATGAAGGAGCAAGAGCAAGAGGTTCCTAAAGGAGGTGATGTCATCATGGACCTGGACGTCACGCTGGAGGAACTCTACTCGGGCAACTTTGTTGAGGTGAGGGGAGCAGAAACAAATTATACTTAGAAGTTTGGTTTGGGTTTTAAAAAGAGGGGAAATAAGATTTCCCCATCCGCATGAGTTGTCATATTGTGCCAAGTACATATTGTTTACAACCTGGTTTATATCTCCAAGAGTTAATTTTCATGAGAAAGTGTTTTTTAGTGACAAGGTGGATAGCTGAAGGAAGGTAAAATGTAGTTACTATGGAAACATGCCCTGTGTGTTCAGAGTGTAATCCAACCTGTGGCATTGTGTTACTGTACAATTCCTGGATCAACAATCACATAACTCAGAGAACATTACAGTCAAAATCAATAACCAGCATTTACAAAACATCCTCAGATCAACCCATGAAGATCCAGGTTAGAATAGTTCTTCAGCAACCCATGCTTGTCATAAGAGGCAACTAACGTGATCGGGTGGTTAGGCTGACTTGGATGACATATCCCAATTGCGTAGATCGATGCTCATGCTGTTGATCACTGGATTGTCTGGTCCAGACTCAACAATTACAGAATGCTGCCATATTGAGTGTGGTGTTAAACAAGAAGCCAACCAACCAACTTAAGATCAGATTCATGTATATTCACAAAAGCATATCTCATAAAAACACTTTTTACAACCAAATCCAGGTTGGAAGTGATATCTAATAACCTCATGCCTGGAGACAAACATTATCAGAAGTGTGTTGTACCCAGGTGGTGAGATACAAGCCTGTTGCGAAACCTGCTAAAGGAACGAGGAAATGCAACTGTAGGATGGAGATGGTGACACAGCAGCTGGGGCCAGGGAGGTTCCAGATGATGCAGCAGCAAGTCTGTGACGAGTGCCCAAATGTCAGGTCAGTAACTGGAGAGACGGTGATGTACAGGTCAGTAACTGGAGAGACAGTGATGTACAGGTCAGTAACTGGAGAGAGGGTGATGTACAGGTCAGTGACTGGAGAGACGGTGATGTACAGGTCAGTAACTGGAGAGACGGTGATGTACAGGTCAGTAACTGGAGAGACGGTGATGTACAGGTCAGTAACTGGAGAGACATATCGGTGACATTAGCGATGCACTAGTCTGTGACATCAGTGCAGGACGGTGACATTCAACATGTGACAAGTTCAAGTATCGACAACAGGTATGATGATATGTTTATTTTTGGAACAACCCATGAATGACCTTGTGAGAAATGCTATATCCACCTCCTGGTATTGGCAGTGTGAGCCACCTTCCTGGTCAACAAGGTCCTCACATATCAGTGTGTCATTGGCACAACCGTATCACCTCTGTGATGTAGTAATGGCCTTTGAGACAGGCAAGTCTTTACTTCAGGTCCCTAAGGTGCATCACTTTCAGAGCGTACATGGGGGTCAAGTGAACTGCGTTTCTTTTCTAAGATGCCTTATTAAATACTTTCCGCTGATAAATCTAAGGCAGAAAACACATTGAAAACCGATTGTGTCGCTGACCTACATTAACAATCCTAGTTCAGGTCTAATGACATGCTATTCTATTGTTGTATCTGTAGTTGTACTGTAGGAGACGGTACTCAGAGGTACAGATAAGCTGCAGATCTGCGTAAATTACGCAAATATTTATGTGAAAACTCAATTTCTATTCAGTCTAGTGCGTACAAGTACGCTTGATTCTTTTTCAGAAGAAGTCCTCCTTGGGGTACATATAAGCATTTAAATGTCCATTTTAAATCCTACGACAGTTGTAACTATATTTTTTAATAAAATATTTACAAAACAAAAAACTTGTTTTTGTCTTGTGAGACCACCCCTACAGGGCCCCACCGGACCCCCTACAGCCAAGAGCAGGTAACTCTCGCCGTCTACCTCGTACCTCACTTTTCATGCTGTCGTTCTGTTGAATGGACGTGCGTGGAGTTCGCTTCGAAGTTTGCTCTCCCACCGATAATGATGAATGTAAAAGAGTCTCAATCTGTATGTATGGTTCCTTTCTACGACGGCTTAGCTGGACGCCATATGTTGATATTCTCATTCATCTTTTGTTGTAACTTTGTCGTGGGTTCTCTGTTTTCCAGCCATGTGGCAGGCAAAACATGGACCGCTAGCGATCGTGGTTTCCTTTGCTATATGTTCTTGGTAGCTTGTAGTAGGGAGTTCATATATTATGTTTGCATATTATATGGTAGGCTTGCCTAAATTCTCTTTCTTTCAGCTTAATTTGTGGTAAGTCGTTGTTGAGTAATTTTGATAATGTTCGCTTCAGATCACCAACTTTACTCTATCACTAGTATGTACACGCAGGTTTGGCTAGCCTTTTTTCTGCTTTGCATTGTATGTTTAGTATTTAAATGGCTGTAGCTTGTAGCATTTAAATATCGCCCGTGCGGGTTATTCTTGCTATTTACTTGTGTTTATGTGTTTGCTGCTTCACAGTTCCTGCTAGTAACACTGGCGTGGTTCTGTTTGTTGCAGTTTAAGCCCTGTGCGTTGTGCCGTGCACACTACCGCCACAGGATGGTTATAAAGTGTGCCTCCGGTGTTTAGCCGAGGACGCTCACGACGATCAAGGATGCTCATAATAAACTCCCTTGCGTCAATATTCCTCTTACATTATGTCGTGTTATGATACATATTTCATACGTTTCCACACAACGTGGCTCGTAGGCCGAGGTTGTGTTTTTTGTCTGGGTGTCTGCGCCTCACCCGCATTCTTTCAGGCACGCAGATTTTATGTTTTTCACTAATCAGCTTCAGGCGGGGGATAATATTTGATGAAAGGTTTCTACGGAAATCCCTTTATCGTTCTCCCGCAAACAATGTTGCTGCCTTAAATATTGACTCAATTGCTTCACTATTTCAGCAGCATATGCTTCGGCAGTCGATGATTGATAGCGTGATGTCAGGGCTCCGTCAGGTTCAGGTTTGTCACAGGCGCCTGGCGCCGGCGATGCAGGTTTCACCCTGTCTTCGTCTGGTGCCCTGACTGGCTACTCCTAGGTGTCTCGGGATCGGGGTTCGGTCTAGAACCGCTGAGCTTCGGCCCCGCGGATTCTCTGAACCCCGTGGGTAGCACCGACCCAGGCTTCGGCACTGGTAGGGTGCAGATTCCCGGCGCCGGTAGTTCAGCTCTCGGCCTGATGTCTATCGACGTCTTGACCAAGATGCTATCGGGTGTGTTGGTCACCTCGACGCTCCGAGGTCTGTCTGAGTGCTTGTGAAACCTTGATTTGTCAGGCTTCTCACATGTGCCTCGGAACCGGGGTTCAGGCTCGTACATTGGACAAGTCAATTTGAGCTTCGGCTCATTTCGCTACTTTGACCTTACCACTGGGTAGGTTCGTCCCTGAGGCAAGTGCGAGATAGAATCGCGGCTGTGTTGCCTCGGGTGTTGTCCACGTCGAATACCCGAACCGTTGGAGTTCGCCTCCTGGAGAGAAGCCTGCTTCCAGCAAGGCATACGGGACAAGGCCTCACACTCTGTCGTCAGTCTGCCGTTCTTTCCCCTTAACAGCTCAACGCTGTATGCTCCACTCGGCGCATCTCTCAGCTCTGCTGAGGGAGCTGGTGGAAAGGGGAGAGAGCGTCGGTGGTATTTTTTCGTCGGCGGCATCTGACTGAGGTCAACTCTCATCTGGCTAGGGACTGCATTGTAGCTGTGCCAGCCAAATGATGAGTGCGGTTATGGGCCTATGACACCCGGGACTGTTTCGAGGAATACGGAAGTCTGTCGAGCTTCTCGTTAATTCCTCAGGTGCCCAGGCACCGGCAAAGGTTAAGTTGCCGACTGCTGGGGTTTACTGTATTCTGCCGCAATCCCCGGTCGGAGCGACACACTCCAGTGTCAGCTTACCCGGAGACGGCGAAAATACTCCGTGCCGAGATCCAGTCTCGGCTGGGCAAGGCAACCAGCGTGGTGGTTTCCAATGGTCAGGAAAATGTGGGGTTTGACTCCATTTATTTCATCGTTGCCATTAAGAACGGAATGTTCAGACCCATTCTCATCTGAGAGCTGAACAAGTTAATAGAGGTACTGTCCTTGAAGATGGAGACACCGCACTCGGTGATCTCATCTGTCGACAGGGGATTGGCGCACGTCAATCGACCTCGAGGTCGCGTACCTCCTTGTTCCATTGCACCCTGATTTCAAGATTTACCTTCGGTTCTTGTTTGACGGGACGCATTACCAGTTTAGTGTGCTTCCCTTAGGCTACATTACGGTGCCAAGGGTGTTCACCAAATTGAGGTTTATTACAGCTCAGATAGCCAGATCGCAGTGCCGGTGTTGTCAACCGTACCTAGGCGACTGGCTCAATGTGGTTTTAGAATAACTATTGAGTCTGGGGACCTCACTATCAGTGTTGGTCAATCTTACGAAACTGGGCGGAATTGTCAACCTCATGCAGTCAGATGGACAGACGTCAGGCGTCTCTCTGAGGGTCCCCACCCCTGGAGACACCGTCGCTCTCAGTCCAGCCAGATACATTCCTACCGGGTTAGGGCGATGTTCTGGGCGACCTGCAGTCTCTTGGCGACGAAGTCACAACCTGCACATCAATGTGCTGTAATTGACAGCAGTTAGGTTGGTGTTCGATCCCGCACGCCGGGATTCGAATTACCTTTTCGGCCAGACATTCTCACTCTGAACGGGGTGCCACACCCGAATCCTCGGATTCACTGGGTGGCTTGGCCTCTGTCGGGTATAACACCCAGACATGCAGAATTCCTGCAACTGTTGCAGACACAATTCTGGCTTCGAGGCGGGATTCGACACCCGTTCAGTGTGTTGATAGGTAGGGCACGCTGGTTTGCAGATAGGGGGATTTCATAATCCCTATTCTGCGGATTTAGTTCGGATATTGGAGTTACTATAACCTCGTTTTGGTTGAGAGCCTTATGACCTCCACCATTCCCGGGTACTCCATGACTATTTCCACATTTCACACTTCGTGCGAAGGTGCTCTGCCTAGGCAGCATCCTCTCGTACATCGCGTCGTAGCTGGCATGAACAGGGTTCGACCGCCTGGGCGGCGACACAGCCCACCTTAAAATTGCCACTTATTCTCAATTGGCTGTCTGGCCCTAATTTTTCAAGTATATCGTCTCTCTCACTTCACTTGTTGACGTGGAAGACGACTTTACTTGTTGTGGTGAGCTCTGGTAGAAGGGTCAGGTACATCCATGCGATTCCCACTGACCCGACACTGACAGTATTTTATACTGATCATGTCCGTATTCGCCTCCCGGATACCTACCACTCTCAGTGCGATATTGCTTTCCACGTGACTGCTCATATCGCACGTCCACCCCTTACCCAGCCTTCCACACCGGGGACCAATCTTTCGATTGCTCACCCGTGACTGTCACGAACGAACAAAAGGGATCCGTACGGGTACCCATGTGTTCTGTTTGGTGGCGGGAAGACTGAGGAGTCTGCTAGCAAGCGCACTTTATCTCGTTGGCTTGTTTCCGTAATTGTTCGGTTACAATGATAAGGTTAACCTCTCTCTTTCTCTCTCTCTCTCCCCTACAGACTGGGTAGGGCAGATGCCGCTTTGTTGGCAATACACAGCGGCACTGCTCAAATGAAGAGATCGGTTCTGTCGCTCTTTGGAGCCGGCAGAACACCTTCATTCGCCATTACCAACTTGACACGCATTCTAAGGATCGTGCTCGGTTCAGTCTTTCGGTTCTCTCCACCCTGACCAAGTTAGTAACTGGTCATTGGTATCGGTTCTGTGTTCAATGTCGATATATTTCATATCACTGCATCGTATTAGCCTTACCATCCTTTCAGGTTGGGTCGGGTTTGGGTGTACATACGTCCCTTACGCCCTCTTCAAGAGGGCGGTGTCCGTTTTGAACGCTTTAACCAGTCATATGCTATTAACCCGTCCTGCGACGGAATTGGGTACGAACCCCCCACGGGGCACTGTTTGGTATGCCTCTCTTCGAGCCGCATGTCACGTGACCAGGTTAGTGTAATGGTGAGCCAACGCATGTTCGGCTACGCTTTTCGCTATTCAGGGGATTTTTGTACGCTTAGTTTTTTCCCTCTTCCTGAGACTTCGGTATTTGGGAGTCTGTGTTAATCAGCTTTGTGGGATGGTGGTCTACACTTACCCTCCTCACGCCGAGAGTATTTGGTGGGGGTGTTTTATCCTGTTTTTCACTCGTACAATGCATGGCGTTTGTACTCGTTCGATTTCCTCAGAAAGATTTTAGCGAGGCTAATAATTTCTCTGGGTTTTATCGAGGTCCCGGCAATCCCTCTTCCAAACAGGAGGGGGTGCATTCGAGCATTAGTTTGCAGTACTTATTAGCTCGACTCCTGGGTTATTGGCTTTTTAGCGTTTAAATTTTTACGCTTTCCCTACCCTTATACCTCTCACCACGCTTGTCTGGCTGGGGCTATATTAGGGTTGGGAGTTGTTTCGGCATGTCCCCATACATTCCTTTCCATTGTAATGGTTCGGGGTGGGGTTTTATGTCATAATTGATTTGAGCCAATTGACATATAAGCTTGGGCTCTCTAGTTCACGCCCCCGTCTGATTGGCATCAGCGGTCAGATGGCTCGGTAGGTGTTTTTTCTATTTCCGTATCGGTTGTAGATTGCACTCCACCACGGGTTTAGTTGTTGCCAGACAGAATGCCACTCCCGTCTCTAATATCTTTGGGAGTCTTTCATATGCTTATATGTACCCCAAGGAGGACTTCTTCTGAAAAAGAATTATACAAACCTGTAGAGGTTATGAATTCTTTGAAGAAAGTCCTCCTTGGGGTACGGCCACCCGCCTCCCCTCATTCTGTCTGACACGTTCAGCATGAAAAGTGAGGTACGAGGTAGACGGCGAGAGTTACCTGCTCTTGGCTGTAGGGGGTCCGTTTGGGCCCTGTAGGAGTGGTCTCACAAGACAAAAACGAGTTTTTTGTTTTGTAAATATTTTATTAAAAAATATAGTTAAAGGGATTTCCGTAGAAACCTTTCATCAAATATTATCCCCCGCCTGAAGCTGATTAGTGAAAAACATAAAATCTGTGTGCCTGAAAGAATGCGGGTGAGGCGCAGACACCCAGACAAAAAACACAACCTCGGCCTACGAGCCACGTTGTGTGGAAACGTATGAAATATGTATCATAACACGACATAATGTAAGAGGAATATTGACGCAAGGGAGTTTATTATGAGCATCCTTGATCGTCGTGAACGTCCTCGGCTAAACACCGGAGGCACACTTTATAACCATCCTGTGGCGGTAGTGTGCACGGCACAACGCACAGGGCTTAAACTGCAACAAACAGAACCACGCCAGTGTTACTAGCAGGAACTGTGAAGCAGCAAACACATAAACACAAGTAAATAGCAAGAATAACCCGCACGGGCGATATTTAAATGCTACAAGCTACAGCCATTTAAATACTAAACATACAATGCAAAGCAGAAAAAAGGCTAGCCAAACCTGCGTGTACATACTAGTGATAGAGTAAAGTTGAGTGATACGAAACGAACATTATCAAAATTACTCAACAACGACTTACCACAAATTCGCTGAAAAGAAAGAGAATTTAGGCAAGCCTACCATATAATATGCAAACATAATATATGAACTCCCTACTACAAGCTACCAAGAACATATAGCAAGGAAACCACGATCGAGCGGTCCGCCATTTTGCCTGCCACATGGCTGGAAAACAGAGAACCCACGGCAAAGTTACAACAAAAGATGAATGAGAATATCAACATATGACGTCCAGCTAACGCCCGTGCGTCGAGAAAGGAACCATACATACAGATTGAGACTCTTTTACATTCATCGTATCGGTAGGAGAGCAAACTCGAAACGAACTCCACGCACGTCCATTCAACAGAACGACAGCATGAAAAGTGAGGTACGAGGTAGACGGCGAGAGTTACCTGCTCTTGGCTGTAGGGGGTCCGGTGGGGCCCTGTGGGTGGTCTCACAAGACAAAAACAAGTTTTTTGTTTTGTAAATATTTTATTAAAAAATATAGTTACAACTGTCGTAGGATTTAAAATGGACATTTAAATGCTTATATGTACCCCAAGGAGGACTTTCTTCAAAGAATTCATAACCTCTACAGGTTTGTATAAATTTTTGTAAATACTCTTGAATTTTTGTAAATACTCAATAAATGTGATCTTACGTGCATACACACAAAAATGTCAAATCTTAGCTTGCGTACCGGTGGATAGATAAAATAACTGAAGTATACTGAGAGGTTCTATTTCAGGACATGAACTTGACAACTTGCAGTCTTTCTTATCGTTTCTCATATTACAGATCAATATAAATAACAAACATTAACTTTTAAACTTCACTATATTTTCGAATTTAATGGAAAATGGCAAAATACCCAATTGAGTTTGAGTGAGGTGAGTACAATTTATTTGGTTACTCAAAGAAAAATTAGGATACCTAATTAACACAAGTGAGTACATAACTCAATGACCCAAAACTGTATCTGTAGCTCTGTGTACTAGGCAATGACAACTGACATGTCGTAATGTTTGTTGCGAAGGGTGCGCTTGATTACGAGGGGGCAGCTAGAATGGCGTAGTGACGTCAACACAGTACTGTCGGCGCCTTTGATCATTTAGCGCAGAATCTTAGAATTACAAATATTACACAGTAATATATATCAACTTCAAGGACACATGTTCTGGTTTATTTCAGGTTTGTACCTGAAGAGAAGCTGTTAGAAATAGAGATTGAATCTGGCATGAGAGACGGGCAAGAATATCCATTTGTTGCCGAGGGTATGTATTGATGCAGCAAATCATTTTATTACAGATTTGTATGAGTTCAGTAGAAATGTTGTGACCATTGCTAACATTTAGCGGTAGTATTGACTATGTACACTTCACATGGGACTCACCATGAGGACGTCTCCGTTACTTTCAGAAGCTGTGTAATGCTACCTTTTCATTATATATACTCATTAATATATTTCATATTTTGAAAATTTGATAATTGTTATAGACAATTTCTATTTGAAAGAACTGAGAAGAGACCAGTTTGTACACAGAGATATCCGGGGTTAGCAGTGCAATGTACATCATCATTATGAATAACATATTTGCATGTAAATCCAAACTTTTTGTTGTAGGTGAACCTCATATTGACGGCGAACCAGGAGATCTTAGATTCAAAATAAAACAAATTAAGTAAGTAATTAATAATATATGTTTTCACTGAATGGGGGAAATGAATAATTTATGCACTTACGCACTTACGCAGAACGGAGCACTATGTATTCAGCAGCGTCCGTACATATACGTCTGTATGTACGCACATCCCAATTCTTGTTAACATGGTATTTCATGAACTGTTGTACGCAATATCTTCAAATTTGGTGACAGCCTACTTTGGGGGATTACACAGACACCAGTCAATTTGGGTGACCTTGCCCTTATCTTCAAGGTCACCATGACACTTTGACCACCTTTCAAACTTAGGTAAACGCGATATCTCATTAAACGTTGCTCCGAATGTCTTCAATTATGTCGAAAGCCTACACTGGGTGATTACATAATGGGTATCGGGGTAGGGTAATGGGGGTTGGGGTACCTGGGTAGAAAATTTGAACCCGTCCCAGCCCTAATACACACTGATACTGACAGTGGATGTGTGGATCTGTGTCTGTACATTCAAATCAACTATATTCCTGAAATATCTTCAGAGTTAGGAGGGGGCGGTGGGGTAGTCTAAGGGTTAAAGCGTTGGCTCGTCCCGCCGAAGACCCGGGTTCAAATCCCCACATGGGTACAATAAGTGAAGCCCATTTCTGGTGTCCCCCGCCGTGATATTGCTGGAATATTGCTAAAAGCGGCGTAAAACCAAACTCAGTCAGTCAGTCAGAGTTAGGAGAAGATCCTGAGAAGTGATCATGTCTATAAACTATATCACACAAAAGGTGATCTTCTATGTGACCAATAGATACAAACTAGTAAATATGTTATACTTCATTCTTCTTACATTACCATGTTAGTGGCAAACACTTGTTCATATTGTACTGAACTAAACATATCCTTCAACCAGAAAGAGACATTTTGACATGTTTACAAATTTCATGTGTTTTAGACATAAGAAGTTTGAGCGTCGAGGAGATGACTTGTACACAAACGTGACAATATCATTGGTGGATGCACTTGCAGGGTTCGAGATGGACATCAAACATTTGGATGGTCACAAAGTAAGTCCCAGCTCTCACAGCAATGTTCAGGTATTCATTGCAAGCACACCCACAATTAGTTTTACCAACATGCTACGTATAGGGAAAATGTCTGGTTACTACTGTTTTCAAAGAAGCTCTTGGTTTTGACATTTTTTAAAAACTTCACATGTAACCTAATTTATTTTATTTCCTGCAACTTTTTTCCATTGCAATGCAGCTTAATTTGGTAATATGTTTCCATAACAACCATGATCTGCTTCATGTTTCTACATCTCCTGTCCAATCCATGCTTCAAAGGTGTACTCTCCTTCACTATGTTTAAGTGTAAATGTTGTGACATGATTTAGAGTTGTCTGCCTGTGTAACAGGTTCATATTGTGCGAGACAAGATCACCTGGCCTGGCGTCCGCATGAGGAAGTCCAATGAGGGGATGCCCAACTATGAGAATAACAACGTTAAAGGATCCCTGTATATCACGTTTGATATTGACTTCCCCAAAGGAACACTATCAGAAGAAGTTCGAGCAGGTAAGTTTCGTATTGCAACACAAACTGTGTTTCATCCTTCATAAAAGTATGGCAAAAAGAGCTTTCCAAAGGAGAAAATTTGGCATTTTTAATCTGAAAATATTCCTGAAGAGTACAAACAATAATAATAATAATTCCTCAGTCTGCCTGTGTACATTACCAATGTTATGATGACAGAGTGATGGATCCTGCTGTAAAGTTTCAGTTTGTTTGAAACAAAATAAAACATGCCAAGTCAGTTTCTGGATGGAATGAACAATTCCTGCATCAAAGGGACGCAACTCTGCACAGCAAATCGACCCGTGAAGATCCGGGTTAGAATTGATCTTTAGTAACCCATGGTAACGGATGGTCAGGCTCTCTGATGTGGTTGACACATGTCATCGTATCCCAATGGTGTAGATCAATGCTCATTCTGTTGATAACTGGATTGTCTGGTCCAGACTCAATTATTTACAGACCGCCGCCATATAGCTGGAATAGTGCTGAGTGCGGCGTAAAACTAAACTCACTCACAGCAAATTGAGCTGAGGTGAAATTGGGTTTAACGTCGTGCTTTAGAATATTTCGCTCCACAGCAAATTGAAATACATGTAGATCTTTGATCACTATTGCCTAAACATGTTTGATTTTGGCATGCCCTTTGTGAATTACTGTGACAAAGAGTGAAGGTGCTGTGACATTCCCTTGTGTACTTAAAGAAATAACACTTAGAGGTCATTTAAGATGGTGTACTACCTATCCCACATACTGGTCCATGGGCCATGACAGCAAGCTGATGCTTTGTGTTCTTGTTTCAGATCTGAAGAAACTGCTGAATATGGAATCAAAACATACAGTTTACAATGGGCTTCAGGGATTTTGATTGTTAATATAGTTAGGTGACAAATATTTTATTTCCCTGCTCCTGTTCCCATTGTTTGCATCAACAGCTGGTGTTTACCTACAGAGGACATTATTTGTGATGAAGCTGAAACCGAGTGGGGATTAGGTGGGGAAGTGATGTGTACCATACAAGAAGGGCTGTTGTTTGTGTGATAGAAGTCACAATATGGCTGGAATAATGCCAGTGTGATGTTTTAACTCACACCATCATGAAATGTACAACCATTGTTTTCTGGTGGTTTGAAGTTACAGCTGCAGGATCTTCTGCAATGCTGTTATAAAGTGAAGTATTTTACTGTAAATATGTCAGACATCATGATGATACCCCATGTTGTTGTTGTGTGTATATAAGAGCTAAACCAAATGGAAACAAGTATGTTTTTTTTGGGTCAAACACATCAGCAAAATTTGCTAATGTATTGAACATGTTACCATGGTGACTGAATGTTGTGCTGATGTTGGAGTGAGTGTTTCGTGAGCGTTGTGTCGTATTGTTTGGCGGAAGTTTGTCTACAACAACAGCTTACAATGAATGTGAGATTTTACCATTGTTAAGTTTGCTGTATTTTGGATTTGTTCACAACTTTATTAGTTGATCTGCTGAATCTGATACTGCCACCAGCGCTTCATCTTCAAACATCAGTGTTCAGGAATAGATTCATATGCCAACCCTGAAAGTTTAAACAACCATCAAAACTTTACACATCACTTAACATGGCACAGCAAGTAAATGCAATGTAGTTGTATTCACTATTTAATTCACAGATGGTTTGTGTGAGAAATAATGCAAAATATTTGTACCGTACAAGCGGTTTTGTGACTGATTTTTTGTTTTTTTTGCTTGAAACATCACAAAGTGTAGCTACTAATACATATTTTGTAATGTTAGTTAATGTGGTTACTTCAGCACAGAAGCAGCAGCGCTCATGTTGCTATTGGTTATATCTGACGGGTCTGGCAGCATGTACGTCCAGCCAATGCTGCTTGTCACCTTGACGAAGGTGATCTCTGCAGTTCATTGATTACAGTGCAGAATTACTGCTTTAGACTTCTATATGGATAACGGTAAAACAAATTGCATGTTTGACTGCTGAAGACATTAAAATTGTAGGTACTTAAGTTCATAAATTTACATAATCATGTTAAAGATGTCTGATTTGATATCAAACATGTCAGTACACGGTTACTGTGGGTAACATCTCATCTGTGTTCTGTGTACACATAACTGGCTAAAGTCCATTCCCATTCTGTTCAGGCGGCAGCCAGTCTTGTAACTCATCATGCCGTTATTATTTATTATCTTACAAAACATATATCATATACAATAACAGTGCTCTCAATGTTGTACATAGATTGTGATGATCATTTTACAGCAGAAGAACATTGTAACATACATTGAAAGTTATTGGAGGGTGGGGTGGGAATTTAGTTTTACTGTACTATATCTCATATGACCCTTGCCAGATTGTAAGGAACTTAGGCATGTTAGGTGTGAACCCTGAACAACATGGACATGTTGCTTCTGCTCAATGTACACTTGGCCCTCTGAGGGTTTACAGGCCACCATTCCCTGTATTTGGAGATGGGCGGTGGGGTACCCTAGGGGTTAAAGCGTTCGCCCGGGTTCGATTCCCCACATGGGTACAATGTGTGAAGCCCATTTCTGGTGTCCCCCGCCCTAATATTGCTGGAATATTGCTTAAAGCGGCATAAAACCAAACTCACTCACTGTATTTGGTGCATAGAGATTAGCTCATGACTGTTCACAGAAATCCATGGTGTTTGGATGTCCAGTAGTAAAACCGCCAGGACTGGCAGCATTCAAATCCTTGACATGTGTGTTAATGGAAATGTAAGTGTATTTTCTAGGTAATTGGCGGGATTGTTTGTTTTGGGTGTTGCTCGTATTGGGTTTTTTGTCACACCTCTGCTGTAGCCATATCATGGTCAGCCAATATTAAGTTCACAATTGTAACTCAGACTGGATGGGACCAAATTTATGTGAGAATTCCTGGCTTTCTGAAATGCCAGAGGTCAACATTATGTGCTTTTGAAAGTAGATTTTACAAGTGGTAATATCAGCACATGGTTTTGATATAAAAAGAATTGGGAGACTGATGTATGAATGCTACACTGAGAGAAATAGAAGTATTTCAAATATAACATATCTTTGTTTTTGTCTTTGCAAGTACATTGTACCTGAATTCTCATGCAGGGATTCATTTAAAGCTTGAAAGGGAATGTGATGGTTGTTGGTGACGCCTCCCTGTCAAATACTGGAGTAAACACAAAGCACAATTTAATGTTAGTGTAATTCATTCACTCAATCTGCCTTGCTTACACTAATCCATATATGCTATCACTCACAACTACATTCTCACAATCATCAAACACAGTCTTTCCCCATGCAAGCACATACACCTCGCCATTCACTCACATGCAGTCACATCAAAACTCAAAATCTTACAACATTACAAGGTAAGAGTTCAGCCCCTAATCCCGCTTGAAATGTATTCTATTTATTAGGATTATTTCGGGGGGTTAGGGTTAGGGTTTTTTTATTAAAAAAACCATCTATTCTTAAGCATAGAATGATAATACAAAAAACGGGGTTTACGGGCGGAAATCTTTCCCATTACAAATGTCTTTTTAAAGGACTACACCTCAGTTCATATGATTATAGCAGGTACAGAAGATGAACTAGTCTAACAAATGCAACGAAAGCACAAACTAAAGTACTGTCGGAAATGCTAGATAAATGCTTTTTAGCCTTAATATCTTTAGAAAGTTGATAATGTATTATGTTGTCAATATATCAACTCACCTATAGTGTACCTAATTTTTATTTCAATTGATTTAACATTCCCATGCATTTAAAGGGCAGTTTACAGGAGACAATTTGGTACCAAAACAACAACTTAAGATTTTTTCAGAGTTCAACAACAGAAGTCTGAAATAGTCAGCCTTACAGGAGGGGCAAGTCTCTATCCCCAGACGCTCAGATGTCAGAGTCCAACTTCACGGGCGGCATGTCAGGGTCGATCCTTATCGATCGGCGGGACAGCGTTACCGGGGTGTATCACCTTCCCCGGACGGTTATATCCCAAAACTTCCACATCCCAATACTACCACACATTGTTAAAACAACAATTCCTCATCACCCCTTTTTAGGTAATAGGATAGCCCGGGAAGTACACTGAACTGAAACAACGGCTCGGGTGACACTGCAACAAAGAGGCGTACATCAGACCACATTAGCCTACCCTCGAGAGAAGCATACAACTTATAATCATATTACGAACCTCACCAATGATATTACACATGTGTCACCTTAGTTAAGTTTACATATTTTAAGGTGAAATGCCCATAAATCTCAATACATATATAAACAATTTATTGACGTATTCTAACTATAACATAACATAAAATAATAATACTCACACTAGTCCAATATACAGGAAATCAGCCAACCTAACACACATACACTTTCCAACCGGTTGCAACTCACAACTTTCAAATCAGTCCTTATATACCCCCAAGCTATAATACCCGACTTGATTGCCCCCCAAGCTTACTTCCCAGATACGTACAATGCTCTCTCATACTACACACCTCCGACACAGACAATCACTCACTGCTTACAACACTGCTCTAGCTTGCAAGTCCTAACTTCAAACCTATCACACCTCAAACATAAAATATAACATACATTATACTTATTGTGATCTTGACCCTCCCTATCATCAACACATCGCTGAATACACTGATAGTTCAACCTTTTAGCCCAAGTAAATCCAATACAATCCCCCAAACACCTGCCGTAAGTTGCCCTCAAACCAAGTGGACATTTCATGCAGAATTTCTGCCGTGGGGCATATTACTGCTGGCTGTTTTACATAATGGGGGATGTCATCGTATCCGAAAGCGTAGATAAATGCTCATGCTTTTGACCACTCGTTTGTCTGGTCCAGACTCGATTGTTTATAGACCGCCGCCTTATAGCTGGAATATTGTTGAGTGCGGTGTTAAACAACAATCAAAACAACAAAACATAAAGAGGTCATGCAAGTGGTGAACTGAAGGCCGCCATTGCTCGGAAGCGCTCGTACAATATCGTGCAGGACCTTGTCGGACATCGACAGCTCTGGAGTGGACGGATACTGCTCCTATGACTGAAATGGTTCCGTGTCATTTCGTTTCCTGAAATCCTGTTATTCTCAGGTCTTTTTTGCCACCCTCACTCCTCATTTCAGGATATATGTTGTATGTTGGTTCAGAAATGATTTGCGAAAGGTATTTGATAAATGATACAGACATTTATGAATAGGTGCACCAAAGAAACAAAATTCCGATCACCTCGACTATTACATGTAAATACTTTAAAAAGCTCTAGCTACACAAAGAACAAACAAGACACAACCACCATCCATAAGACACATAAAAACATCCATAGTCTCTCCCACTCTCTCCAAATGGCTTCAGATGTGCGCTCAGGCATCCGTACCAACCACAGACTGCCTCCTTGTAGACTATTGTTGAGATATTCTGAACTGCCGGCAAACGAAAGCAATCACTTTTAAGGTAATTGTATTAAAAGAACGACAAAAACGCCGGAACAGGTTTAAACCCAAGCAGAAAACATTTCCGAAAACGCTGTCCTAAAACATCGTACGAATCGTGCATTTTTCAAAATGTGAAAATCGTTATTGTGGGACATTGGTACAAATGCACATTCGATTGTGGCATAAATACCTATGTTGGACAGAGCAGGCATGCAGTAACAAAAAAACAAAACAAAAAAAACACCACGGATATGCCAGGTCTAACGGAAGCGCAACGAGACGGCGATCGTGGTGTCCAATATGGGGCTTTCAATTGGCGTCTGCAGCCAGACCACCATCAGCAAATTGATAAACAGCTACCAGCAAACAGACCGGACCCAAGACCGTGCAAGATCGGGAAAACCAAGAGACACGACACCGGCCTAAGACCGCTACATCCGGCAGATTCAACCCGGAACAGATTCGTGACGGCGACGCACTTGGACACGTCATCAGCAGACGAACAGTCCTTCGACGACTCAGTATGGCAGGTACACGAGCCCCTTCCGTCGAATGGCCTTGACCGTCTACACCGTCAACGCAGAATGCAATGGACACGAACTGTACGTTGGCGGCAGCGACGTGACTGGGAGAGAGTTCTCTTTGCAGATGAATGTCGGTTCAGAAACAACGGGAGAGGTTTTCGACGTAGAGGAGAGCGACTGGCGCCAAACTGCATTCAAGAAGTTCATCCGTTCGATGTTCACGGTATGGGGCGACATTTGTGGCCAGAGACCAACAAGACATTATCATCCGAGGAAATCTGAATGCCCAAGTGATGAAGTGTTCAGGCCTTTTGTGGTGCTCTTTGTTCGACAACGGCCAAGATAGTCACACCGCCAGAATTGTTATCAGAATACCTGCACAACGATAACGCCAACGTATTGCCTTGGCCAGCGCTTTCTCCAGACATGAACCTCTGGGATCATCTTGATCGTCACCTGAGACAGCGTGTGCCACTACCAACGAACCGATATCAACTGGAACAGGCTCTCTTGGACTTACCCTGCTGACGTCATCCGCCGCCTGACGACGTCAATGAGGAGACCTGTATTGGCGTGTATGGATACCCAGGGTGGTCACACTCGCTATTGATGACGTGTTCCCTGACTCTTGTCTCATTATATGTCTTTTTATGCACTTTTTGAATGAACTCTGATTTGTGTAATTTTTAATTTTGACCTCTTGACTCTCTCTTAATGAATATAAGAGCGACCAGTATTGCAATGAAGTTTCAGTCAAATTATTGGAAAATGATTTCTGTTCGTAAAATAATTATCACAAATCTCACATACGTCATTGTTTCTATTTTATGGTCAAGTGAAGCCCATGTTACCCTTCGTGTGCCTGGTAGTTTATAAGGTTCTGAAGCAAATGAGTAAATAGCCCCACACATGTAAGTTGCCCTGGCCTCTGGTACAAAGAGCAATCAATTTGTGATGTTTTTACCACAGAGATGACCGACAACGACATGGAGAGGTTCTAATATTTCTGGTAATCAGTCATACGAGAATTTGTTACATACCAACTGATACACCACAATACCTTCAACTTCAGTGGACCTCGGAATGTTCATACAATGGTCATTCAAATTATACAAACATATGGGTTCATTATTTATATTTAGCTGACACAATAGAATCGGCGGCTCGTCATAAAATGCCTTCATCCGGAACGACCATTGTGATTGTAGCTTTTTGCAGCTTTTTTATCCTTAGTAGTAAAGTGGAAGCTGTTGGTTGTGGGACACAGTCCTATCGATGATAGTCAGAGATACTGCCGTGGACACAAGCTATCAAAGATACATTATGGTGGAAATGATATTCACTGGGGAATCATTAGGTCGTAATGAAAAACAATAGTGGCCTGCTGTCCCAAATCGCCCATTACTGGTTCCAAGTCTCCGTCTAACTTGATTGTACACCGCTGATGACCAGACTATTCAAAATGGCCGCTGTGATGTCTGCGCGACAGCTGAGGACATTCGAGGACATCAGTTATTACTTTAAAGTTTTATTCCATTGGACACTTAATTTCATTGAGCGTTTGAATTTCACGAATATGCAATGAAAATCAGGCGTTGCGAAAATTCCGAAATATAAAAGGTACGTTTAGCACTTGGACAATGCAGTCAGTTTGTAAATGTGTTTGCAGTTCACAAGAATTTATACTCAAGAGTCAATACACTTTCTAAAAGGCATATGATTCTTACTTTCACTGTTTTCCGATGTCCATTATTACTAGTTGGCCTATTTTGTACCAACATATATTTCATACATAAGTTCATGAGATTTCATGATTTAAGGATTTGATGGTTTCTTCGTGATTTGATGTTCCATGTCTATATGCTCTTCGAGTGAAGTTCACATGAGATGCGATAATATTCCATACACTCTTCGAGGGTGATTCGTATGAGATCACATATCTCCTCTGGGCAAACCATGAACCTTTGTGTAATGTACAGCAAGGACTGCGTTATCTGACACTACTTAAACACATAAAATGTATTAAAATACACCTCCTGATTTAGTGACAGTACATTCTTCATGTGTAAATTCCCAC